ACCACTGCCACCACAAGCACTAAACCATATCGCACAGCACGTCATCCAGGCGCCTCCTGAACACTGCCAGGGACGGCGACTCCACCACCTCTCTGGGCAGCCATTGCAGTGCCTGACCACCCTCTGAGAGAAAAAGTTCTTCCTTATGTCCAACCTGAACCTCCTCTGATACAACTTGCGGCCATTGCCCCGTGTCCTGCTCATTGCCTGGGAGAAGAGGCCAGATCCCTCTTCACCACAGCCTCCCTTCATGCAGTTGTAGAGTGCAATGAGGTCTCCCCTGAGCCTCCTCTTCTCCACACTGAACAATCCCAGCTCCCTCAGCCGCTCCTCATAAGGTTTGTGCTCCAGACCCCTCACCAGTTTTGTTGCCCTAAATGTGAAAAAGACTCCATAAAAAGCTTGCAGTTACTGTAAGATCTAAGCAAATATTTAACCTCACAGTGCACAGTGACATGATCTGCTGTGACCATGGACTGCTGTAGGGTGACAGTTTGCCTGATGGAGAACAGAAAATCCTTCATGAGTACACCAGAGTCATCCAAGCAAAAAAGGCTCAGCAGCAAGGATCAAAATATCACAGATTAAACAGAAAACAAAAGTGTCAGCTTCTACATGCTGAGAATTGTTCATTAATTTTGTTCCATCCTGCAATATTTTGCAAATTCTAAGCTACGACATTTGGAGTGTTACCAGCTAAAATATGTTGGCTCCTTATGGTGTGTTGCAACCAATTTTGCAAACTATCACAGGGCGATGAGAGTTTTCTACACAGCTTCAGAAGTACAGTTTGCGGAGAACATGAATATCTCCTCTCCTCTCTGTACTTAGACTGCAGGGACACCGGATGCACAGAAATCACAGTGTATGACTACAGGATTACGGAGAAAAACCCTGCAACACTAAGTGTGTGTCTTGGACATGCCTGTCCCTCATGGAAACTCTCACGTTGGAAACTCCCTGCATACAGAAGCAAGTACGCACACAACTGGAGCATAGATGAAGCAGATGTATGTGCTGCTCAAAGTACAAAATCTATGTATGACAGGCACTTGGAAGTTCAGATGCAGCTTCAGTGCTTAAGGGTGCTTGTAGGAAAGATGGTGAGAGACTTTGCACCAAGGCCTGTAGGTAGAGGACAAGGAGAAATGGTTTTAAATTAAAAGAAGGTAGATTTAGGTTAAGCTTTAGGAAGAAATTCTGCACTATGTGTGGTGAGGCACTGAAACAGGTTGGCCGGAGAAACTGTGGATACACTCAGGGCCAGGTTGGATGGGGCCCCTGGACAGCCTGATCTAGTGGGTGGCACAGCATTTGCTGGTTGCTTTCTTTTTTTCCTTTTCAGATGTATAATTTTTGCTCATAGCATTGCTACCCAGCCTGTGAATTCAGCATTAGTTTCATCCTACCACAGAGCAGAAGCCTTCATTTTAAACCTCACATCTATCATTTTCAGCCCAGATCCTCATCCTGCTGAGATGGTTTTGAAATGTGATGCTCTATTCCCATGTCTTCTGGCCTCATGTTACATCTAGAGGCTGTACCAAGAGTTGTTCCTTCCATTGTAGCATTCTGGAAGGTGCTGAGCAGGACTGGCAGCAGGACCAAGTCCAGGAGAACTGTCACTCACCCACCCAGTCACCTTCCTGTGAGACTTTTCCCTGTCATTTCATCTGACAGAATGGAGAATAAAATAGAATGAAATAGAATGGAACAAGTATAATGGTAATATCAAAATATAATATATACATATGTATATAATGTTAATACGATATATTCTGATAAACTATAATAATACATGTAATATATAAAAGATCCAATTGTATTTTTAGTACATAGTGTATTTGCATACACATACATTTGATATTATATATAAAACATATATGTTTATACTTCTTTGTATTGTGCATAAATATGTACGTATATAAAAATAAATATAAAATAAAGCAGCAGTTGTTGTGGGCCACTAATGAGCCAGCTGTTACATGATTGCCCAAGACAGCCTGTAAGCCTCCCAGCCTTGACCGTGTGGAAATCTCCACCTGCAGAACGTCTAGGTTCGTTAGGAGTGCATCAGAAACTTCGTTATGGGTTGGGTGACAGGGCTGAAGGAGCATTTGGCAGCGGCAGTCACAACAACAGATTCCGACAACAGACTGCAGCTTCCTCGTTCGCAGACACCTCCACGTTGGGGAAACACTGCTTCGAAACGCCGCTGCCTCTAACACTGCAGGTGACAGTCACTGAGCAGGGCAAAGAGTGAATTTCAGCACAAGCCTCTACATCATCTGTGATTTTTCCTCTCTCTGGCTTTAAGCTGTGGGAAGATTGACACCCCAAACTGAAATTAATATATTCTGTTGCCACTGGCTTTCGCCACATTTTGAATAAACCTGCTACAGAGCGCAGCTTTATCATGGATACTTTCCTGCACTCTTCTTTCAGTCATCATTTTTAGCATCATTACGATGCTGCTGTTGATAGGCAGAGGGACAAAATAACAATGCTTTCAAACTACAGCTCAGAAAAAGAAAACTACTTCTCATCCATTCATTTGCCAAAGCTGAGCAATATGTGGGTTTGGATGTCTGCCCACTGATGCTTCTCTTTTTTTACTTTTTGCTGGATTGTCCACACTGACCAAAGACACTCACTTTGTAGAGCATCACAGAGAAGAACAGTAGGACAGACCACACGAAAAGGCTGATGAAATAAACCAAGCTGTACAGAAAAAGGAAGAGGCTCTTCTCCTCCCCATCCCTTATATTTTCCAGTTATATTTGGTATTATTTATAAATTCCATATAGAAAATATTTTGTCTGTCTTTAGAAAATTATGACTTTGAACTCCGGCAGTAGGAATAAAAGCTTGCAGAAGGTCACAGTGCCCACACTCTGAATGCCACAAACCTAATCTTGTGATTCCATACCCACTGGAAAACTTCCGTTCCTGCAGCTTTTCACAGGACTAAACCCCAGATCCAGCAGGGTTCACGTGATGTTTCTCAGCTAACACCTGTCAAGTGAACGCATGATGGCAGCCGCTGCCTTTTGCTGGACAATAAATAGGAAAAGAGAATAAAGTAACATGAAGGAACTATCCAGCAACAGAACAACTGTGATAAAGACCAGACGTGGGCAACACCTGCAATGGAAGATGGGAGATGAGGCAGAACAACGGGGCGGCAGTGCTCTTGCTGCTCGCTCTCACTGCGCTCAGGCATCCTCTCCTCCCATCCCCACTTGGACTGCTGCACTGGGCCTGGCGTGTAGTTCATGGCCTGCCATGGCCACAGCATAGCCAGGGGCTGAGGTCCCGTCAGGGCACACACCGTGCTCGTTGCTTAGGAAACATGCAGTGATTCCTGCCTGGTGAAAGGATTCGCCAGTCCTGCCCGTAAATAAAGTCCATAAATCAGCAGATCAGAGCCAAGGTCAGGGAGCTGAGGAGGAATCAGCCACACTCCACGGGGCTGCCTCATAAACAGCAGCACTGTTGGAATCTTTCAAGTTCCTTTCAGCTACCAGGCAGATTCATCAACAAAACATCTGACCTAAACATTGCTTTTACAGTATTTTTCACAGAGAAGGAACACAAGAAAACGACCAACATAGCTGCCACACCAAGGCACTAAGCTTCCCATCACCTCGTGCTACAGGAAAGGGCACAGCTTTGGAGAGCAGAGCCGTGGGCCTGGCTAGTGTCATCTGCAAACCCATCATGGTCCTGTGAGCAGTTATACTGCACTGCTCAGATGTAGAAAGAGTCCTGCTGCAGTACAGTTATCACCATGGCATGGGTATATTGGCACCGGCAGAGTTCCTATCTATTCACTACTCATCCAGGTGCACTGCCAGGCTGGTTTGTCAGTTTTTCCTGAATCCATTTTGGACAACTGACAGACTTCAGCAGAAAGCTGGAGAATGGCCTTATGCTCCAGGCTTGAGAGGAACAAAGGTGAGTGGGTGTGCAGTGATTAGGCCAACTGCAGCACCATGCAGCTGCAGCCCCATCAGGCTGGGCAGGAGGAACACCTGGTGTTCCTTTAGGAGATGTTTGGTTTGAAGAAGAAAAAAGCTGAAAGATGCCTGATCACTGGCCTGAAAAGTTGCCATCAAGACCGATAGCAGGGATGCAATCAACTGAGTTACTGAAGTTGTGACTGCTGCTAGCAAGCACGTGGAGTCTAGACCCATCTCTCTCTCCCAGAGCCATCGCTGTCCCCAGCAGCTCACAGGTGAACTGGTGTTAGTGCTGCTGCACTGCTTGCTGAGGCCTCGTTTCTGAGCAGGACAGTGGGGCAATGGCACAATCAGCATGCAGAGGCAAACCTCACAGATCAGCAACTCCAGTACTCGAAGTTGGGTGCACATCGGGGACTGCATCTTTAACCAGTACATTGCTTGGCGTCCCTGTGAGACTGTCCTCATTCACTTGAAGGGAAGCATCCTGGCAGTGTGTTGAGTGCTGCCTGTAGCCTGCTGCTCTCGGGATATTTATAACCATTAATGTCGTGGACGGGAGGTGAGTTTGAACGCACGTGTCACACTTATTCCCTTACAGAGGAGCACCGCTGCCTGACATCTGAACGGAGCTGCCTAAGGCCCGGAAGATGCCCTCCCCCAAGCCTGAGCCAAACCTCACAGCTCCGACCCGCAGCGCTCTGCCCTCGCCGCCTGCTGACAGCCCAACTTCGCGAGGCCCCTCCGAGCGTCCCCCGCTCCCCGCGGGCCGGATCCCCGGGCTGACAAATCTCCGGCTCCGCACCCGCCTTCGCCCCATGGACGGCTGAGCGCCTTATCTGTTCCGCACGGGGGGGCCACCCCCCTCCCGCAGCCCCGTCCCCCACCCGCGGCGCGGAGCCCTCCCCCGCCCAAGCACAAAGGCCGGGAGGGTGGGCAGCAGCCGGTGGGGGGCACCGTGCAGCGCACAAAGCTGGGGGGAGGGAGGCAGCCCCCCCCCCCCCCGCCGGGGCACACGCACACGGGTGGGTCCCCTACCTGCAGGTGCCTGTCCGCGGGGGAGCGGCGCAGCGCGATGCCGCCCGTATCGCATGGGGGGATCGGTGATGGTGCTGGGAGCGCTCCGGTCCCTCCTCCTCTTCCCTCCTCCTCCTCCACCTCCCGTGCGTGTCTGTGTCCGCGTCCGTGCGCTCTGCCCGGCTCGGCGGCACTACCGCCGGAGGAGGCAGGGACAGGCTGCGGCGGCTGTCAGCTACCGGAAACCGGGGCCGGGTCGCACACACCGCAGGAAGTGTGCAATTGCACACCCGCACACGCCGCCGGGCACGGGGCGGGGGTTAGCGCTCGGCACCCGCACCGCGCGGAGCCCGGAGCGGGGCCCATGGAGGGGGAAGAGGAGGAGAAGGAGGAGAAGGGTGGAAGAGGAAGATGCGGATGGAGAAGGACGTGGATGGAGGACTAGGAGGAAGACTAGGATGGAGGAGGAGGAGAAAGATGAAGAAGAAAGATGAGGATGGAGGACTAGGAGGAGGGTGGAGGTGCGGGTGCTCAGGAGACAGAGTGAATCGGATGGGTAAGGAGGTGGAAGGCTGCCCACAGGACAGTGAGGTTAAAAGCCGAGGGAGCAAAATGGCCCCTGGGGATGGCGCTGGGCATGCATCCATCTTCATCAAGGATTTACGTGAAGCCAGGACTGTGCCACCAGCACTAGCGGCACAAAATAGCTGTACTCGTTATTCTGATGAAGGTGTGTTGACATACACCAGCTGAGTTACTCCAAGGAGCTGTGCCCACATAACTGCTGCTCAGTTTTTTTATGCAGATACAGAGATACTCAACTTACCTCTTGCTTTTTTTTTTTCTGACGTGAGATCACAGGTAAAACAACACCTGTATGCTAATTTCATGTGGGGCAAATTTGCACATGCATGCATGTATATGCCTCCTACATCTGTATATAGCATGATAAAAAAGCTGTCATACATGAAAGCAATTTATCTCTCAGGAAAACTGTAACTTTTAATTTCTTCATTTGTCCACAACTAGAGATGTCAACTGCAACATTACTCACACGAGAATATTTTTGCAATTAATCATGAGAAGGCTCAACATGCACTTGCAGTGTTATCTCTTAGTGCTGGTTTCTCCTACAATAAGGCAAGACATGTGCCAAAGCAAACTCTGTTCCTCTCCTCCACTGGCCTTTATTCCCTTCCTTGTTGCATCACTGTAAAGGAGATGGACCTGGATGCTGCTGGCAGAATACCAGCTGCCTGCTCCATGCTCCAGGGGTTCCTCCTCTCGTATGCCAGCACTGCAAAACTTGAATGGCTAACACATGCTACGATGGCAACAGTGCTTATGCAAGATTATAATGCAGACAATCTGGAACTATACTAGTGCCAAAAGCAGTGCTGTTTCCAGGTCTGCCTGTAATACAGCAGGGGAATCTGATAGCAGCATAAGCCTCATCAGGGGAAGACTGTCAGGCCTTCTCCTCTTGTTATTTTCAGTGAGATGCCATCACATTGCTGCAACACAGCAGGGATCTCAAATACACTGAAATTGAAGGTTATGTGTTAAAATCCTGAAGACTGAGAAGTGAAGTGGAAGAAGTCAATACTAGAAGGATAAGCCATTACTAGAAGGGACAGCTGTCCCCTATCCAAACACATGACACTCTGCTCTTACATCTTGCTCTCAGTAGAGGGACGTGGATGCAAAGCTCTGGTGACACTGAGGAGGGGACCATCACCCTCCTGGTCTCCACATGCCCTCAGGTTCCTGTCAGGGCTGGGATAGACTGCCATTGAGGAGTGTGCTCCCCTTGGGTCACCAGACACACCCCCATCAGAGGCTACACAGGTCATACAGCTCCAAGGTGGCCTGCCAAATGGTCTTTTCAATATTCAATTCATATATTTCCAAAAGTTAAGTCAATAAGGAGCTCCTGCAGAAGACGCAGAAGACTCAGATGCAGAGTTCTGTTTATAATTTGATGAGCTGACAAATGTTATGTTTGCATCCCAGACTTAACATAACTTAACTGCCTTCTAAGTGAACACTGAAAAGACTTAGCTTCCTAAGACCAGTTGTACTATGAAGTCAAGCAACCAATGGGACTTGCTGTTTGCTGGTGGTCCTCCACCTTTTTGTTCACTCCCTTTCTGCAGCTGAGGAGCACACTCTGTTAGCAATGGCATTAATGTGTACTGCTGCTGAATTGTATGTGAATTTTCTTTCTGCAGTTGATTTTGCAGATAACTCAGAAGCAGTCCATGAGACACATTGCTGTCTTGTTTCTTATCTCTTCCCTTCTCCAATCTCCTTTGCATTTTTCTTCTTCTCTCATGTTTTTCTGGCAGCAGGACAAATAGCCTCAAAACTTGCCTTCCTATTGCCTTTTACCTGCTTCCTTCCTACTCCTTCACTTCATTGCTAGGAGCAGCCCCAGGTAAAAGTCGTGTCTGCACTCATTAAATAAAAAGAGAATTTGAAAATCCTTTTCAGACCTCTGTTGCCTTTGCTTGGCTAATATATCCTATTATCTTCGCAGTGTTTTATGCAGGGCTATAATTGCACCAGAGGTTTCTGGTTCATATCAAATGTGCTGCCAACGAGTTCTGTTAGCCTAATAATGTCACCAGCCCTTTAGCACAGAATTATAAGTTTTAGTTTGCTGCCTATATTAGCAACTGGAAGGTCAGCAAGAAGAAATGCTCCTGTGAGAGCAGATCTCTCCCCAGAATGGAGAGCTGCTGGGTTGTGCTGGTGTCTGCCAGGTGGGTTGATCGCTTCTTGCATTCTTTGCTGCGCATTTGATGCTGAGCACAAACACCCCAGCTCTGTGCCAGGCACCTCAAAGTAGATGGTCTGCATGTTCAGATGCAGAGTTCTGTTTATAATTTGATGAGCTGACAAATGTTAGTTTGCATCCCAGACTTAACATAGACTTTATTCTACAACACAGGGCAACTCATTTTCTGTTTACCCATCTGTGATGAAACCAATTGCAGTCCTCACCAGCCTGATGAGGAATTTGCTCACTCCAGGCCCGAGTGCTTACACTGTACAGAACTGCTTAGAGCCTGCCAGGCTGCTAAGGACACTGGCATAAACAATGGGCAAAGGCAAAGACAAAAGCCTCTCCATCCCACAAGCACAAAGTCTTCTCCACAGGACGACTGGCTGAACCAGTAGGTTGCCAAATGGAACATACGAGTTGCCAAATAGGAGGTAAAGGGATCTCTGTCTTCCTATTTGGAAACATTTGCCCACTTGCCACATGAAGAAAGGTCTGAATGCTGTATCATCCCTCTTGTCACAGATTGTAATACGGGTACCATGACCATGCAGAAAGCAGGTGGCACCTAGTAACTGAATGGCTTACTTAGGAACCTACCAGTATTCCCTTGCACCCCTTCAGCACTGTACTATTTATCGTGACCACAGATGTGGCTGGGCCTGCACATTAAATTCACTTGCGTGCACTCAGCTGCTAAGGATGTTGCAACGAGTCCCAGCCAGCAGTGCAAAGGCTGCCTGGTGCCATCAGCTAGCAGCACCACTTCTTGGAGGAAGCATCCCCCAGAGACAGCAGCGTGAGTTAAAACAAGTCTTCCTTTTTAGACACTGTTTGTGTGATTCAGCATGATTTGTTGTTGTCTGTCAGCTGAAGCTCGGAAAGAGCAACACCTGGATGGTGTCAGAAAGTTCCCAGAGAGCATGCTGGCCTCAGCCACTGTCAGAGCCTTGTGGTGTGTCTCACTGTGCCCCAGTGTGAGAGCAGCTCATTTCAGGTATCCTTCCAAGACACAGGCAGACACCTGAATCCTCATGGGAATGGCCTCCAGCTGAACCAAACATACAAGCACAGAAAGTCCAGGGAGATGATTCCTACCCCAAATGTCCATACATCACTCTCAAGTGCTCCTGCAATCCCCTCTCAGAGTACTAGAGAACCATACTCCCTTTGGTCACACTCCTCTCTGGATGAAAGTGCGCCATAGGTGCAGATGCCTGCAAACAGTGCTAATGGGCAGAACAAGGTGGGATTATCTGGTGGGAAATTGGTGCTCTGGAAGGGAGGAGCAGGAGGTGGGCCGGTGAAGAAGATTCAGCTTCCAAACACCCAGCCACAAGCATGGGAATTCCAGAGCAACAAGGTGCATGGCAGTTCCTCCCTAACAGCAGGAAGATGAGTGGTTGGACTTGTAGACAAGTTGTGTGGTGAGCGGAGGTGGGGCATCAAGACACTCAGCAATGCTGAGGGTTGCTGAGTAAGAAAGCAAACTCTCTCGTGGGTTGAGAGGGCTACCTATCTCCATGTTTTCAGTAGTGGTATAGCAGAACTATGCTGATATAGGGAGGATCAGAACAACAGTCAACGTGGCTGTAAACACTGACAGCATGTCTATGGATTTTGTCCTACACACAGATGGGGCCTCATGAGGGCAGAGTGGAGGGGGACAATCACCTCCCTCTCCCTACTGCCACTTTTCTGCTGAATCAGCCCAAGATACAGTTGATCTTCCGGGATGCAAGCACACACTGCTGGCTCATGTCCTACTTTTTGTCTACCAGAACCTCCAAGTCCTTCTCCATTGGGCTGCTCTCAATGAGTGTCCCAGTCTGTACACTGGGAAAAAGCAAAGCAAAGGACATGACAGGGAGGCTGTTATTGGGAAACAGTGGGAAATGTCTAATAAGGATAACAGAGTGCAGCAGGGACAAAGATAATTGTCCGGGGGGATTTTTTATTAGGTTTTTTCATAGGAAACATTTGGAATTCAAAGGACAATTCATTTGCCAAAGCACAGCAAAGCTGCCTCATGACATGATCCATTTACTTATGAGCAATCCATAAAGAGGACAACCAACCAAACTACTTCTCTTTCACACTCACACATGTTCTCTTTATGTAAAGAAAGTTGCTAAAAGGAGAGTTTGTGAGGTACTGTAGCCACATTCCTGGAACATCTGTAATTAAAGACTAACACAGTGTTTTATAGTGAAGAATTACCAGTTAATTTACCCTTCGCTTACCTGCCAGTCCCAAAGTTACCTGGGGGGGCACTGCATGTTGCCACACAATTTCTGTCACTCTCAAAGACGCTTTCAATTCTTCATCTTTGGAAGACCATGATCCTTCTCTGCCAGTCGATCCCACAGCATCTGGTTGCCTCCTGCTCAACACTGTTTACATCCCGCCTACACAGGTCAGAAAACAGGGCACAGAGTGCAAAAAGGATCCTCAAGGATCGAAGGAATCTTCTCTGCTGGAACAGTAAT